GAAAACTGGCATAACTCGAATCCAGCCTCCGCATGTATCTCTTTCACTCGGGTAGATACACTGATAGCTTCGCTCTCTGTAGCGAAACTGTCCACATAGTCATCAACGTAGTGGTGGTCGATGATGGCCTTAACTGCGCTCGGATGTGAATCCCGAAACTTCAGGGCATTCACCGTCTTCACGTAATGCGCAGCGTTCGGCGAGCAGGCTGCTCCAAACGTCATTACGTTCATCTCGTACACATCCGGGTCTCTATCGTCGTCACCATCTCTCCAAAGGAATCGTTGGGAACATCGGTCCTCAGGTCGGATCAGCACTTGGTGGAACATCTCCTTGATGTCACCGCAGACTCCGACTGTTCCTTCCCTGAAGTGGAAGAGCACGGCTGGCAAGGGCTTGTAATGCTGAGGCCCCTTGTCCAGCACCGAATTTAGAGAGGTTCCTCCAACCTTGGCTGCAGCATCGAACACAAGCCGGACCTTACCGGGCTTGTTCGGGTTTTCGACACCAAAGTGTGGCAAATACCATAGCCGGTCGCTCGTCACCGCGACCTCATCATGCTGCAGCTTCTTCGCATATCCTTTGGCTACGTAATCCTTGATGATACGATTGTATTCCAGCGCCAACTGCCTGTTGCGCTTCAACTTCTTTTCTACGTTGATCAGCCGTCTGTGCGCCATCTCGTAGCTCCGTGGCAGCACAGCGTAGTCGTCCTTCCAGAGTAATCCCGTCTGGTAGCGACGCCCTACTTTCACCGTGGTGTCTTCGAGGATCCTTTGTGCCCGCGCGTCATCGCTGCCTGCGACCTGTGGCGCGAGCTTCACACCAAAGCTTTCCATCTCGAAGTAGTCCTCCACCATCTGTTCCATCGTGTCGTCCATTGACACGGCAAGTAGGCAGGACCTCGGTGACGGCGTAGTCGATTGTCCACTTACTGGCCCACGGCGTCCATCTCCCTGCGCCAGGCTGCAAAGGCTTTGCCTATCTCCTCTGGTAGTGGTTCGTCCCACTGGATCTTCTGCCTCCAGATCTCTCTCAACAGCAGCGTCGAACGTTGACATCAGCAGGCTCAAATACTCCCTCTTTGTAGGTACTCTATCTCCACTTAGAACGCTACTTGGCACTCGGTGATACTCCACTTTGAACCTGAAGTCATCCGTGGCTACCTGCCATCGCATTCCAAGGATCTTCTGCTCAGCCTCACCCCATCCGACGCTCTTGACTCGTCCAGGTGGTCCCAACGCTGCTTCCACGATGGGTGAGCTGGATGAAAACTGGCATAACTCGAATCCAGCCTCCGCATGTATCTCTTTCACTCGGGTAGATACACTGATAGCTTCGCTCTCTGTAGCGAAACTGTCCACATAGTCATCAACGTAGTGGTGGTCGATGATGGCCTTAACTGCGCTCGGATGTGAATCCCGAAACTTCAGGGCATTCACCGTCTTCACGTAATGCGCAGCGTTCGGCGAGCAGGCTGCTCCAAACGTCATTACGTTCATCTCGTACACATCCGGGTCTCTATCGTCGTCACCATCTCTCCAAAGGAATCGTTGGGAACATCGGTCCTCAGGTCGGATCAGCACTTGGTGGAACATCTCCTTGATGTCACCGCAGACTCCGACTGTTCCTTCCCTCAAGTGGAAGAGCACGGCTGGCAAGGGCTTGTAATGCTGAGGCCCCTTGTCCAGCACCGAATTTAGAGAGGTTCCTCCAACCTTGGCTGCAGCATCGAACACAAGCCGGACCTTACCGGGCTTGTTCGGGTTTTCGACACCAAAGTGTGGCAAATACCATAGCCGGTCGCTCGTCACCGCGACCTCATCATGCTGCAGCTTCTTCGCATATCCTTTGGCTACGTAATCCTTGATGATACGATTGTATTCCAGCGCCAACTGCCTGTTGCGCTTCAACTTCTTTTCTACGTTGATCAGCCGTCTGTGCGCCATCTCGTAGCTCCGTGGCAGCACAGCGTAGTCGTCCTTCCAGAGTAATCCCGTCTGGTAGCGACGCCCTACTTTCACCGTGGTGTCTTCGAGGATCCTTTGTGCCCGCGCGTCATCGCTGCCTGCGACCTGTGGCGCGAGCTTCACACCAAAGCTTTCCATCTCGAAGTAGTCCTCCACCATCTGTTCCATCGTGTCGTCCATTGACACGGCAAGTAGGCAGGACCTCGGTGACGGCGTAGTCGATTGTCCACTTACTGGCCCAAAAACAACCCATCCAAGTTCGGTTGCGGCCGCATACGGTCCCTCTCTGGCAAACCGCCTCGTCCTAAGTGGCAATCCTAAATGTCCATTGTCCAGTCCGATGAGCAACTTGGGCACCACATTGGTATAGGGCTTCATCGGCAAACGCGCATCCTTATGCACGCCTTGGACATCTCGTCGGCCTAACGTCTGCATCGGCAGACTCAGGCTCGAAACAGAGTACATGTTCCTCAACGCGTGGCGAGTGGGCTTCCCAGCTCCACTTATCTCCAGACTCATCACGTTACTGGGCTCTCTACTGGCCCTTCCTCCGAACCATTGAATGTTCAGCTGTCGACGATCGCCTCGCACTCCCAGAACCCTCCGTAAGGATCCCTCATCCAAGAGCGCGTATGTGTCCACCTGGCGACCAGCTCCGTACAGCGTTACTGGCAGTATACGGAACAAGAGTCGGCCTCCCTCGGCGTCAACGCAGCTTAAATTCCTCTGCACGGGCGCCTCCGCTGGCTGCGGGGCCCTTCTCTCCACGCTGTTTCTAAGGACAGCCGACTGCAGGCTCCCCTCGTGGTCCCTGTAACCACCTCGTGGCGAAGATCTCCTATCCGGGCCGCGTCGGGAAACTGCTGACTGCTGGTTTCCTCCGTTGTGGCGCCTAAAGCCACCTCGTGCCGGCCATCTTCGCTCCTCGTCCGCGCCATGTAGCAGACGGTGATGCAATTTACGACATCCGTTGACCTGGCACTCGCCATATGCATCGCAGGATCTGGTCGTATGTCCACTCCGTAAGCATGTGAAGCAGAGCCAATGCCTCCTCACCATGCTCCTTCTGTCTGGTGGCGAAGCTCCAATAAACTCCCTGCAGCTCGTCGCACCATGTTGCCCTCCACAAATTGGACAACTTCCATGCCGATCATCCTGTTGATCGCATCCGTTCTGGTCGTCGCTCGCATGCAGAACTCGTCGCCTCGGCTCCTTTCCCTCGACGTCCAAAACCGTACACACAACGTTTGCGTACTCCTGTAAAGGGAAAGGGCTCGATCGATGCAGCGTGCCTGGCCTAGTCCACTCGCTTGCTCGTAGGTAGCTTTGCCACAAGCTCCTCCATTAGCGTTGGGTTCCACAGGCGCTGCTCCGCCTTCGCTGACTGCAAGAAGGCCGTGAGGTTACTCACTCGGGTTGCGAAGGGAACGATCCTCGCCAGGTGCTGCTCCGAAATCGGCGGCACCTCTCGCACACTGTTCAGCTGGCTGCGTATAAGCTGCTCCGGTCGGCCAAACCTAAAGCGCAGCTGCTCCATCACGGCGCTGACGTTCCCAGGGTGAATCAGCAGCGACTTCACCGTCTCGCGTGCTTCATCTTTCAGCCCCTTCAACAACCTCTGGTTGTTCTCCAAGTCCGTGCAGTTGTATGCTTGGGTCGTCTCCACAAACGCACAATTAAAAATCGGCCACTCCTCGGGCTGCCCTCCAAATACAGGCAGGTCCGGAAGCCTCCTTGTCCCATACGATCCTTGGATTCCATTCGGCGTCATCGAGGCGTAGGATCCCACAAATGGCGATGCTGTTGCCACGTTGTGGATGCTCCCGCCCGGTAGCACGAATCCATGCGCTGTCTGCGCAACACTTGTAGCACACAGTGGCTCCACATGATGACTGCTAGTCGTTAGCAATGGCGGTCCACTCCAAGATGGCGGCAGCGTGCAGGCCGCACTGCTCGCACCGACACCGCTTTGTGGGACCGGCCCGACCCCGTTAGTTGAGGCCTCACCGTTAGATGTGGCCCGCTCCAAGATGGCGGCCGGTTTTCTGCTCCACTACTCACTGGCTACTGATCCGCTCGCGCTGCTGTAGGGGTGGCTTCCCCTCCTTTCAGCCGCGTACTCCTCTTGGGGGAATTCTGCATCCCAAGGTCCAAATATGGCGCTCCTCGGCGCTCTCCAAAATGGCGGCACCTATGCCTTCTGGCCGCTGCCTGCGGCTGCCGTTGCTTGGCGCTCCTTGCGCCTCCTGACCGCTGCCTGCGGTCTCCTTCACTGACGCTGTCTGCGTTTCCTTGTCGCTGTCTGCGACTCCGTAACTGACGCTGTCTGCGTCTCCCTCCGAACCCAGTGTTCGGCGCTGGCTGCGCTCCTCTATGTCGCTGTCTGCGACTCCTCTACTGGTACGGGTATTGCTCCTGGCAACTCTCTAGCTGGTCGTCATACCGTCCTCCAGCGCAAGTTGCACATGCAGTCTCCCTAGGACTGCGAATAAAAAGAGTTGTCTTGCATCATATGGAGTTGCCTTCTTAACGGCTACCCCACACGCGTAGGTCCGAAGAGAGGGTGACTTCAGGGGCGGCGTGCGCCGGGTTGTGTGTGGCAGTTGCGCGTTTTATTCTGTTAATAATTCAAATCAGACTTATACATTTCAAACTAACTTAAGCTTACCGCAGTGTGCCCTCCTACAATTCACAAGACAATGATAAGCACAATTTGTGGCGGCATCCATGTTACCGAGATTAGTAAGCCCACATTTCAAGGGCCACGAAATCCATACAAGTTCGGATAAATTAACAAATACTAGATTTCTCTTACAATACTTATTCTACCTATTGATCACAATGTTTGACCGTCGACAAACATATTTAATACAATCAATCATTCGATATTCATCGCCTACAATTGTTTTTACCACACATAGGAGATGGCGTTAACCCGTTTTTAGACGAGGAGGCCAAATAATTCTCTCAGCTGCTCGAGGTTGAGAGTAACTTAATACCAAAAATAAAAAAAAACCAAAATAAGCAAATCGGGACAAATACGACGGAAAAGTAGCATTGAATGTGGTTGCCACAGCGCATTGTTAGCGGCCGGAATCACTGCCAGGCGGTCTACGACCGGCCCATCTCCCCCAACAGGTAAATAACTTACTCCATAATTTTAAATTTGTTTCCTAAAATTTAATAATTACAACTTGTTTTCATTTCAGGTAAGGATGCTTCTTTAAATGCGGGACCCTAAACGCACCAGCGTTTTGGAAATTAATTAAGGGGTCACAGCGGTAGTACCGACAAGGTCGGGAAACTAGCTACGGTCACCGCGAAACCAAATCTTCGCGCCGGCTTTGTTGGGACTGCTGCACCATTTGGGGCCACCTGATCCTGGGGAGCTCCGAGGGATGAGAAGGGACGTGCGTAAGTATATGATATAAATGCCTATGGATCTGAGTGTTTCCCTCACTTTTAGGGATTCCCGCGACCAAATTAGCTGAACGTAACGAGGGGCGAGAAGGACGGACGCAGGTAAATCCGCATTGATTGACAACGGTAAGTACAATTAACAAATGAAAGATTGTTAAATAGCTAGTTATGTGTGTTTTTGCAGGTGTGGTGTTGGCGGTCCGGAGATCGATACCACGCCTCTTTTGGCCACTGTGGACCGCGACGTTATAGAGGCCGCGTGGTGAAGGAGCACGGTCGGGGTCGCGACCCTGTGCTGCTCGCGTTCTACGTGCCCGGAACGGACTTTCCCAGGTAACGTGGAATTTTGTTGTGGTTAAATAACCTAACTGCCGGCGGCGGTTGCTACTCCACCTGGCTGGCTATCGCTGCCTGCGGCTGTTGCTGCTGCCGGTGGCTGTTGCTGCTGCCTGCGGCTGTTGCTGCTGTCTGCTGCTGTTGGTGGCTGAGCACTACCACGAGGTGTTTCTGCTGCCCTTCCTCCGAGAGGAAAATAGCGCAAATAGAAGAAAACCGAAGAAAACTGCCATGGACCTATGTACTAGGGTCCCCAGTGGACCTAAAATAAATAAATTTGCACTTTATTTCCTAACTTCACTCGCACTAATCGCACTCTCACTTTTTCTTGGGCTATTCTAAGATAACAAATAGAAAAATCACGTCGACATGGCTTCGATGTCTGGCAGCAGCTGAACCCTATCCCTGACCTACGCAATGTCATGCTCATCACGCCATTTTCCCTTTCCCTCTCCCAAAAGTGGGTCTGTGGACGAATCCAAGGCCATCCTAGCCATACCCAGAGCGAACCGGGCTAGTTTAAATAGCTAGATAGCCAAGGGCATGAGCAGAAGGGGGCGCCACTTCAGTAAGGGTTGCCACTCTCCAACTTTATCGATACCAAAAACGAATACCTCCTTCTTATTTCCTCCAGCCGATTGCAACATGAAATGCAACATCATATAAGCGTTATATATGCGTCATGCATTTTAAACCTGAAGGAATGCCCTAATTTTTGACCATCATGAACATTTTTTTGAAAAACGTTGTGATCTCGGAAGCTATAAGCTGCTTTCCATTTAGCGCAAGTTTTTTATGCGAATGTGCCACGCCCACAATAGCTTACGACGCTAAGGTCTGTCTAGTTCTCCATTTAACACCCAAATATTTTTCAAATTAATTGTTCATAAGTTTTTAATGAGTTACAACCAATTAAAGTTTTCCCCAATAGATAGCGCTTATTTAAAAATCGGAAACTGTTGCTCTGGCAACCACATTTTTAAAGAGAGAGAGTAAAAATGCTTCATACACATTCTACTAGTGCGTATGAATACCATTTTTACTTCAACGCAGACACATTTCAAACGATTTTGTGAAAATGTAAATCAATACCCATATACGCATTCAAAATTGTTCAAATCGGACCTTTGGCTGAGTAACGGGTATCTGATAGTCGGGGCACCCGAATATAGCGTTCACTGTTGTTATATTTGTAAATTCAACATTCCCAAAATTTTTCGAATCGCTCCAATCATAATATTTTTTTAAAGGTTTCAATATGTACGTTTAAAGGCTTTATTAGGGCGCCAAAAACTTTAAACCTAAAGGAATTGTCTCATTTTTACAATTTTTTTATAGTTTGGCGATGTCCTTCTCGATTCCCATAAAAGCGTTTTATATGCGCCATGCATTTTAAACCTGATGGAATTGTCTAATTTTTGCCCAAGTTAATTGAACTTTTTTTTGATGATACAGGTGCTCTTCTCCTCGATTCTAATAAAAACGTAGGGGGTTGGGCAATAAAATTATACCGGAAAAAAAACCGATTTCAAGTTCCCTTCAGTCATCTTCAAGACGTCATTGGAAACCGGATTGGATTTGGATTTATCAACTTCTTCATCTTTAAAAGATAGGTGCTCTTGCTTAATATTTGCATTTGTAGACATAACATAATCTATTACATATTTTTTTCAGATTTATTTATAAGTTTCTTTATCTTATATATTATATATATATATATATATATATCTACATTTCATGTTTTAAATCTATATCTTAAATTTGAAAAAACATTTCAGACGAATTTTTATCAAAATGTCGCGCTTAGGTGGTCTTCTAGTCTAGAAATTTGAGAAAATCGGAACTTTTTTTTTCTAATTCTATAGTTTTGATATTCAAAACAAGAGAGAACGCTATAGTCGGGTGCCCCGACTATCAGATACCCGTTACTCAGGTAAAGGGAGTGCGAGGGAGATGGAGATAGAAACTTTGATCACGCATAACTTTTTAACGAATGGTCCGATTTAAAAAATTTCTTCTACATTTCGATAGGTATTGATAAACACAATAAAACTGCATTTTTACTTTTCCGAAATATTTAAATGTATCGTATATAAGCGATTGTGGGCGTTAAAGGGGCCGTGGCACCTTTTTGAAACAAACTTGCGCTGCGTAGGAACTCCTAGAATCTGCATGCAAAATGCCAATCCTCTAGCTTTTATAGTTTCCGAGATCTCAGCGTTCATACGGACGGACAGACAGACGGACAGACGGACAGACGGACAGACGGACAGACGGACATGGCTATATCGACTCGGCTAGTGACCCTGATCAAGAATATATATACTTTATAGGGTCGGAAACGCTTCCTTCTAGCTGTTACATACTTTTGCACGAATACAATATACCCTTTTACTCTACGAGTAACGGGTATAAATATCTCCCTAAAAGGATTTTTCAAAACTCAAATTATTTTCAATGTGAAAGCCGTTTTAGTGACGTGGCCACAAGACCGATTGAGCGAACGAATAAATGGCTGGAAGCCCGGGCTACCTTAGTATGAATAACTTTCTCTCCTTCTTTCTATAACAATACCCTTATTTTCAGTATACTACACTAATCGTTTGAAGATCATTGTATGGAGCTGGGATAAGGGAATGTAATTTATACGTAATATTCTATCAGTTACGCTGCCCGAAACTTAACGTAAAACTTTAAACGCGTTTTTCTCGAAACTACTTTTTTGATGCGGTCGCCACTATATCTCAAGATCTAATAATATATCTAATATATCTCTATCGCCGGAACCAACAAAAAATTAAAATTTTAAATTTATAATATTTTTAAAAATTCGACAAAATGGAAAAATTAGTAAAAAAATCGACTTTTTTCTTTGAGTAGCCTCCTTTTCATTAATTTTTTTTTTTGTACTCAAATACTCCTTTAAGTTTAATAATCAAATGATAAAAACGGATAATAAAAATATCTATTCGATTTTTTTTTATTAATTGTTAAAAAAAGCTCGAAATTCAAGCCTCTAGGTTATCATCATCATCAAAAGGCAAATTACCAAACTTATGCTGATCGGAGGGCTTCGACTTACCTGAAGTGCCTCCTTGCTTAAGGGGGGTAAGGTATTACAATTTTTTGTTTGCCTTTTATTTTATTTTTTTTTTCTTCTGAATGCACAACATTTGAAGAAAATTTTTGCGTTAAAACTTCCGAAGTTATGGGTAGTTGAACGTAGGTAAGTTAGCTCGTTTTGTATTCGATTTTTGGGTGTCCAAAATTTTAAATCGCTCTTCTGAAAAGTTCACATTTCAAAGTCGGTGCCATTCATAACTTCAAAACTCCTGCACCGATCCTTTTGAAATTTTAAACACTATTTCTGTACATATTTTACAAGGTAAAGCCGTCGAGTTTTTTTTTTTTGCTCATAATTTTGATTTTACAATGACTAATTAGCCGATTTTTTCCCAAAAAATTTTACTTCCAAGTCTTCGAAAAAATTAAAAAATTTGAATTTAAAAAAAAAAACTCGACAGCGTTACCAGGAGCAAACTATTATCTAACGGATGAAATTGAATTTTTTGATTTCATATGATCAAGCACCGAGTTATGAGGGGCACCGCAATTCAACTTTTTTTCGAGACACGTCCGGACAATTGCTACCATTGAGTATTTGAATATTTATTTGAAGGGCATCGCGATAGGTCTATAAAGGAGAAACTCTGGAAATAAATTCATAAATGAAACCGAAATATCAGCTCAGGAAGCTGTTTACAATATTTTAGGGCTACATTTGTCAGAAACCAGTAACAGAAGCAAGCTCATAAATACCTCGCTTCCTGATCAAAGAGTACGAATAGTCAAGTCAAAAAAGGAGTTGGAGCGTCAGACTCTACAGATATATACGTCGCAGGATTAAATGATTCGTACACTTAGGCCGGAAAGTATTGAGCAAGTATATCTCGCGGATTTTGTCGCTCTCTACGATCGAAAAGTCTGCAAAACAACAAATGAAGAAGATGAGTATGCGGAGCATGAAGAGGAAGATGAACGGAATCCGAATGTGTTTCGAGAAAACTCTACTGATCCCAGCTCTAATGAAGATCTTCCAAGACTCTTAAAATTTCCTCCATTGATTCCTGTTGATGACGTTAGTAGTTTAGTGCGATCTCTAATAGTAAACAACGTCAATATTATGCCGATTTAATGCATAATATGAATCAAAAGAACATTTTTTATAGGTAAAGTGGAGGGGGAGCAGGAGTTGGAAAGAGTCGAATTATTTCGAACATTTATCGCATTCATTGTTTTCGTTACCCGAAGTGATTAACCAGTCTTCTGCTGGATTGGACAGAATTCGAAACTTATGAATGTAAAATTGACTATAATTGATGAAATATCGATGGTGGGAACTAGAGTGCAATCATATTTGGATTGCCGGTTAAAAAAAATTTATAGAACAGACCAATATTTTGGAGGAATTTCCATAATAGTTTTTGGAGACCTTAATCAGCTTCAGCCGGTTGGTGACAAATGGATATTAAAACCCAACACAAGATACGTAAATTGGAATTATTGGAACACCGCTATGGGATTTGTTTAAATTTTTTGAATTGACGGACATAATGAGACAACGTGAAACTGTGAATAATATGTCGGAGGGAAATATGACAGATAGCGACATTGCTTTAATAAATGAGAAAGAGATTTATTCCAGAGATTTGGAAACAATTCAAAGGTAATTCGACTATTATATTCAAACGCATATAATAACTTAAGGGGGTACATACCTTTTTTTGTCGAAAAAAATAGGAAAGTTTGGATTTTTTTATGTATGTAACTATTGTTTTTATTAAATGAATGATTATATTTTCTGAAAGTTTAGATTGTTGACAATGTTTATGCAAAAATTTTTGAAAAAATATTTAATAGTTTTTAAGGTGTGGCTGTTTCCCTTAAACGCCTTTTTTTTTTAAGAGCCTTGCGGTGATAATTCCCCAGGACAAATGGGTCAACTGATACCGAAAAATTAAAA